TGAGCTGGAGTTGGGTATTTGAGCTATCACTGGCATATGAAATAACAGAGCTAGCCACTGAATAGTTCAGTGGGCAGTTTTCTAGAATTTATGAAGAATGACCAAGTCTTGAAGGATGTGACTAGGCAGATGGGAATCCTTTCGGCACAGAGAATAGGATATTTGCCAAGGAATTGTCATTACTGAAGTATTATAGCTTTACCGTTACAAGAGAATTTAAGAAAAATTCATCTGACATTTTTGAAAGCTGGCTGCATTATGGGCAACATGCTTCAGATACTCCTTTTGAAAAGGAGGCTAAGACATGGGGCTTTCAGAAATTTGCAGTTATGGGAGAGAAAAGTTACGTGTAGTACTATGAAATAAGAAATAGAGCATAGAAAATATAGAATTTTCAGGACCATCTTGATTTTGGGGTTGGGGGTGGAGGTTTCAGAAAGAGAAGGCATTTGTTACGTAGTTGGGGTGTTTAGAGCAAAGGCCTAGAGGAGGAAGAGGCTTGGTACAGTGTTTGGTTTACAGTACATAAAATGGATTGACTGAATTTGTTTGGTGCAGAGTGGGAGGGAAAAATAAGGCTAGAAAGGTAAAGTGGAGCTGGCTAGTGTAGTGACCTTAATACAGAACACAGGCACTTGGTTTTTTAGATTTCTGTTGCTATTTTGATTTTTAGACGAGGGAATAGTAACGTGACAAAAACAGTTCTGAAAGATTAGTTTGGTCAAAGTGTCTGGGATAGTGATTGATTGCATTCAGAGACTGGGTCAGAGGGTACTGTCAGTGATGACTGAGAATTTTGAGGCTGAAAACCAATAAAAGTAACTTAAGAGAAAACAAGTAAGCAGTGACAAGCAGGAAGAAAGGATATTTTCAGGAACGGGAGGAAAATGACTCCATGTGGTAAGGGGCAGGGCTTTTCTCAGGACAATGCTTTTCAGGCGGGGGCATAGCCATGATAGGAAATTGGTCATTCTGGTTCATTGTTAGGAAGAGTTTTCTGGTAATTTGCCATTAGTTTGAAATTTTATAAGTCAGACAGGAATTTTCATGTTAAAAAAAAAGATTGCCCTTTATGAACATAATTCTGTAATTATGTTGATTCAGATAAACTTGTTGGAATAGAAATCCCCACCTCCCTTTCTTTCTGTGTTGAATTTTGTCCATTGCGCACATCCTGTGAAGGGAAGTTTTATGAGTACAGAGGCACATTTCAGAGAACCTTTGTAATCGCTGTCATGGGAGGGAGGAGAGTGAACGGGATGCACTGGTGCTGAAACATTGTCTTATCGTTTGTCATCCTTAACTTCATTTTCATTGTTGTTGGGGCAAAACGCTTAAAGAGGATAAGTGGCAAACCACGGAACAAGAACAGACCACACGAGCTGGACTCATGCAGCTCGTTAGTCATTTCGCGTCAGCAGAGGCCCTGCAGAAGCAATAGCAAACAGTCTTGAAGGAGCTGGAGAAATGAGTTTCTGGCTTGGATGTGGATCTTTTTATTGTCGTAACAGTAGTTGATTCTTCAAGTTGGGAATGAGAGCAAACTTGCTTAGCAGTCATGTGGGTGCAAAAAGTATTACCTTTGGAGGAGCAGACATTTAAAGTCAGTTCAGCTCTTTTAAGAAACTTGCAAACACCCTGATTATAGATGGAGTGATTCAGGGTCAGTCCTTTCACAAATCTAGAACTTAGAGTCCTCTTTATTTCTGATTGCTTTTTGTTCTGATCTGCTTATCAGCTTCCCTATCTGAAGAGGGAGCTAGTAGCTCTTGGATGTTTCCTCCGTGGGTGAGTAGTAGATGGTAGAGGCTCTTGGAGAATAGCCCCAGATATTTAGACATACCTAGATCTTTGCCACTGAATTTAACTTGGTTCTGCTAAATAATGCCAGCCATCTTGTTGGGTACTGGACAACTGTGATGGGGTGGGGGCACCCTAATTCATCACTACACCTTTGCAGCAAGCACGTGCATGGCCATGGAGTCACTTTTGTATAGTCAGGGCTGTCTATTTTCCAGTAAGAGGGAAGAAGGTAGCCCAGTGTAAAAAGTTGTTACTGGAGCCTGAGTCTTGAGTTCTAGTCTCAGTTTCACTATATATAAAACTGGTGATTTGGTAATATCGCCTCTACTTTGACTCAGCCTTTTTCTATGTAGACTAGCAATAACATCTCTTCCCAGGGAAGAGGCTAAAATGGACTAATGGGAAATACAAATTTCTCTTAAGCATAAAATATTGTGTGAAACTTATGGAACTTTTACTTTTTACTAGTGTATATTCAGGCCTTTAAGAATATTGGTTTCTTTATATGTTTTGTTTCTTATCTTAAAAAAAATTGAAATACTCTCTTGGCTTTTTAAAAAACTGCTGGTAATTAAAAAAAAAGTGTTAAAGATAGCTTACTTTCTTTTTCTCTTTTAATAACAAAACCTTTCCAACTATCTACTAGGGATGGAGCTTTAGATTTTTGTTTTTTTTTTTTAATTTTAGAGACAAATCCAGCTCCTCATTTTACTTGAGGATACTGAGCTACGTAAGTAGCAAAATATTAAAAGTTAAAACGAGGCTAAGTGACAAACCACTGAACAGGAACAGACCACACAAGCAGGCCTGGTGTTCAGGCCTCCTCCTCTAGGGTCTTTGTTATTGTTCTGTGCTGCCTCACCATTTGCTTAACTACATAAAGGTGGTTAAGAAATTTATTAACTATATTTAGCTCTCCCTGTATTTAACAAAAGTACCGCTTAATTATATAAGGTCTCTGCCAGAACCTGACTCCCAGAGACAGCACAAGGGTGTAGGAATGCGAAAGGTTGGTGTCTTTTTTTTTTTTTTTTGCCCCTGTGAGGATTTTCATTAATCAACTTATTTTCTCATGTCATTCTCCAATTTAGAAAGCCTTCCAATTGCTCTTTTTCCTATGCAAAAGCTATCCTTATTTTAAGATCTAGGGTGCATTTCACTTCCTCTATGAAGTCACTGCGACACCCAGTTTCTCTCCATTCTGAACTCAATAATTATTGCCCTCAAACTCATTAGTCCATTCATCATGGTACATTGCTATGAACATGTGTCCTTATACCACATTCCTAGTGAGTGTGCTAATGTAGAAACAGACACTGGATTTTGCTATGTGGTCATTGGTCATTGGCATATTGCTTTTTAAAAATACTTTATTTATTTTTAAAAATTGGTAGTACATTTTCAAATAGGTACTTCCCCCCCCAAACATAATAAAAACATGGAAAATATAGAGAAAAGTCTTTATTTACTTCTCATCTATCATCAAACTAGTCTGATGTTTCTAATTTTTTTTCATTTATATAAGAGATGGTACACTATATATGGCCTTAGGTATATATTTTTTCCACTTAATATATCTTGGAAATATTTTCATATCACACTACACAGTGCACTTCTGCATTGTTCTCAATGTTTTATGGGTGTACTATAATTTAACCAGCAGCTGGGAATTTTTACTCCAGTAAAGTTCCAAATGATTTAAAATTTTGAGTGACCTGCCAAATATGCTCCTTATTTTTCTGTAGTATGTTACAGCTTTTCAGCTCTTTACATTTTGAAGTTGATCCTTATAAAATATCTTTCAAGGTAGATTTTTCTATTGGTTTTACTAGGTAAATAGAGAAAGAAATTATCTTGGATTTTGATGACTGTGGTGCAAGATTCTTCAATAAAAGCTCCAACCCTGCTCTTTTCATGTACTCTATTACTGGCAAATAGGGAGTTTGCTTGAGAAACACAGCCTGCTTTGTAGGGGCTGATAAAAGTCTTCATTAGTTCATTTATAAACACTTGTGAATTTACTTCCTTTACTTACTTACTTCCTTAAAACCAGCAGAGCATGTAGAATGGATCTCCACATAAATGCAGCTTTGAGAAACAAAACAAATGTAGAAAGAAGATATGCAAATGCTCTTTTTATAGAAAAAATTTTCAGTCTTAAAAAATCCTGATAGAAATATGTATGTGCAGAAAAAGTGACTTGCTTAGTGGAATTGAAAGTGTTCGTTGAGATAAATTTGGCTCAACTAAGTGATTAAATGGGTAGGGCTGAGAAAAATAAGGAGCACTTAAAACTGGGATTTAATGTCTAAGAAGATTCTCTGCTAAAGAAAGTATAGTCTTAGCTGTGTAATACAACCTGTCTGGAATGCACAAATGAAACGAAGGGAGTTGGATTCTTTATTTAATGTGAAACAGGATTGGTATTGAGCTTGCTAATTCAGCAGCCAATGTTAAAATATTCTCTTAGGTTATCTGTAAAACTTGTAATCTTTTATATATGGAAAACATATTTTCTGCAAAGTACTTTTAACCATTTTGATGACTTCTGAGATGGTTTTGGTGTTGATTTTGTCATATTCAAAACCAGGTCCTCAATTTATTTCTCTTTTTGTATTTGTGCTCTTTTGTGATCACACTGAAAATTTACGCTAATGTCATAGAATTTTAAAGATGTTTAGGCACTTAGGGATTACTGATCAAAAGTTGGTATATTTGTATTAATGTGACTCTTTCTATTGAACAAATTAGAAAACTAATTGCAGAGAAGCTGACTGCCCAGGTTAGACACTTTGTCCGGAACACCTTGCTGCAGCTGTCCAACACCGATTTTTTTCTGTTACTTTCTAATTGACTGATACTGCTCTGTTTGGAGAGATTTTTAATTCTGCACATGTCATTTTACCCTTTATACCATTTTTCTTTCTAATGAGGGCCAATTTAAAAACGGCAAGGATTATTAAATTCACAGCTATTGCTTAAAGCCTGGCTCATTGTGTACATGTAAGAGACTTGTTTGAAGTGAACCAAACTGAGAAGGGAGTGAGGGAGAATTACAGGTGACACATGAGAAGCAGGCAGCTGAGCAGTACTCTCCATCTTTCTCTGGTGCAGGGAGCAGCCAGTTGTGTTCAGACAGTGAAGGTACCAAGTGCTGGTTAGTGTATGTCTTTTAATCTATTCTATTTTTCCCATAGGTCCTTTCCCATAACTTGTGCACGGTGCTGAAGGTCCCACATGATCCTGTAGCCCTTGAAGAGCACTTCAGGGACGATGATGAGGGGCCCGTCTCCAATCAGGGCTACATGCCATATTTAAACAAATTCATTTTGGAAAAGGTATGACTCTAACCATTCCTGCTTATAGCATTGTTTGATTTGCTTATTTCACATGGGCTCCAGATCCCCTGTGGGAATACACTAAGGAATTCAGGTGTGAGTATCACAAACTTTTACATTTTTCCAGCTTTTTTTTTTTTTTAAAGATTTATTTATTTATGTATACAAGAACTAGGGTACAGGACAGAGGTGTGGGGGGTGAGAGGACTTACCAAAGATAGAGTGGGTAGCAGAACAGGTGAATTGACTGACATATACTGCTGAGGGGAACAGCAGCAAGTTAGGAGAGGTCTGCTGGGCCATGTGGGTCACCTCTCTGGCCAGGGACTGAACTCATGCTGCAGTGGCTGCAGATAGCTTCAATAGTGAGTTCTGCTCACTTGGATGCTTCTTCTGGGGTATGAGAAAAGATGCTTCACAAATCTAACATGTGTTTGCAAGCCAAATACAACCTGTTGGCATTTGCTGCCATGTTCAATTTCTCTGTTAGTTTGCATTACTAAAAACTAACACATAAATGTGTTGAATTTAGTTTTTTTAAATTTCCTATCAGAAGAGAATAATCTAAACTTATGATACATAAGTAATTAAACAGTGGGTGATTAAATACTACAAAAAATAGCACATTCTTATTGTTAAGTAAGCAAATGATAACAGAAATAAAAGAAATAAAAAACGAATGGAGTGTTCCTTTACCCTTTCTAGTCTGATTTTCTAGGATTAGCTACTACTAACAGTTTGGTGAGTATCTTTGTGTTCTTTTTAAATGTACATGTAAGCACACAGGTATATTACAAACATATTTGTAATGATAATTTAAGTTTGGAAGATGTGAAAATGTCAAAATGTAGTACTGTTGTCTATTTTTATATAATTTTTGTGTTATTCTGTATTGGTGTTCCAATACATATTCTGTATTGGCCTTCCAATATAGAATGCAATTCTCTTCTAATACAATTCTCTGTTCTCTCT